GTCTCAAAAACTTACAACAGTAATTATTAGAAAGTTTCCCTCTTTATTCAACTCACAACAGTAGTCATGGTGGCAAATATGATCTACGAACAGGCATGATTGGTAATCGATCACCATCATCTTAACACGGAATGATATAAACTTTGTTCGTGCACTGTCCCCAGACGTCATAAAGACATTCTGCGGTACTACTTACAAATACTAATACGACTTTTGTAAAAATATCAAGATACAAAATAGTCCCAAAGCGTATGTAAAACAGAAACGTCTATTTATCTACTATGCATTTAAAAGCTCAGTCTTTCGTTTAATGACTGTGCATCACAGCCATTACTATTACGTAAATAAAGATCCGGATTCCAATAGTGGAATGATTAACACGGGATATATGTCAGGGACACAATAAAATTGTAGATATAAATAAAAATAGCAGCCTGAGGCACGAATAGAAATAATTACACAAAAACTTAACCAATTATGGCTTTATTTGGAAAGTCTATATTAAACTTCCCTGGCAATACGATCGAGTTTATAGTAAAGCATTTCATTGTAGTAAAGAACAATGTTTGGCGATTCGTATATGGTTTAATTATAGTATGCACAGTAACCATATTAATCCTATGTAAACTTTACAGCATGTTCCCACAGCTATATATATCCTCGTCTATATAAAACGATCGCATTACCCTCTTGCGATGCGAGCGTCTTGATCGTAATACCCCACGATCACTCACCAATAGTTCACTTCATGGCGAACAGATATTCTGTCCCTCTTCTTTCAGCTCTTATTTTCCTCTCCTGCTTCACTTGTATACATTCCGCCGATTTAACTTTCAATGAACCTGGATTTGATGAGACTATAGTATTAGCAAGTAAAGTAGAATGTTCAGATGGGACACTTGTCTTGCGTTTTGGCAAAGCAGATCCTGGCGACGCCTACTGTTTTGCCCCCGAAATGCAGTATCGTATTATCAGACCAGATGGATCAGTCGCCACCCTCCCTTTAAACTTTACATTCCCAGCTGCAAGTCGTTGTTCATATTACTTGGATACGACGAATGAAGCTGATGGAATAAGAATGTATTCTATGCCGTATAATCGACTTTTCATAACGTACGTGGATGCTACGACTTACACGGACGTATCAACATACGTTGACAAGGGAATACTTGTTTCTTTCAACGGAGATATAATTGGGTGAGTTTGCGTAGATCACATCATTTACCTGCAAAATAGCCCCTTTCATCAATTGCTAATCTATAAACATCAAATCAACCAGTGATCCTATAATCTTCGGCACTGCTTACAATTACGTGGGCGATAAGGGCCCCACAGCAAAAGCAGGCGCTTTAATACGGAACATAGGCAACGTCAATGAATTCTTGTTTGTGCAAGAAGCAGCTGGGGATGGTGTATCAGTCTACTACAAATGGCAACGATTTACAGAACCGTAAGTGGTTTTGCAATTTTTTTTTGTAAAAACGCGCGCCATTCAACTACTCTTTCCGTTTTACCTACTCGTAGTAATGCTGAGGGCATAATTACGCCAATAGACCAACGCGTTGTTGTCCAGGAACCGACGCTAGGACAGCTATGGTCCACTACATTTGCAACACGAGACGGTGGCTATGCGCTGGTTGGTGCGTATACAGTCGTAGACGATACAGCGGCAGACAAAAAGCCTAAAAAGGCACCCCCTGTGCCGGCCATTGCTCCAGTAGATATTCGAACTCGTTGTGAAGTCACATTCTTCCGTCCATTGACCAATGACACGATTGGTCCGTTTCTTATATATCAGACTTCGGTTGCAAAGGCGTGGGTTGATCCCATGGATTGCAGCAATTCTGCCCTTGGTGTTGGGTATTTATGTGTCGCAACGGTCGAAATCCCAATCGGGAAAACACAAAATTCTTTAGTTTATTATCAGGCTGTTCGTTTCTTGTCATCTGGCTCTGTAACAGAGACACGGACGCTACCAGTGGATCCCAAAGCGCCGCCCGGTAGTGTCGATGTTAGATCCATGCCATTCGGAGGATATATGCTAGTGGAAGCCCCAATGAATGCCAAGCAGACGCAATACATAGTCACCTCTCAACTATTAAACGACGATGGAACAGTATCAAATAAAGCACTGAACATTCCTCAACCTTTAGTATTCAATGTCATCAATAACGTGGTGATCGATGTATTCTTTCCTAATAATTCTTGGGGCTTTGTCTCACGACCTACAGCGACTACATTTAGATTGACGGAATATGATATACCTAAACTGTGGAACGACGGTAAGATGATCGAATAATTCAATCGATATACACGTGTCTATATGCTGTACTTACTGTATCTATATGCTATTTAGATGTCGTCGGTCTGGATAATCCAAACATCAGGGCCATCTGGCCTCTTATTAATGGGAGCATTTCACCAAATGACAAAGTTAACGTTAGTTACAACGTTCCAATAATTTTCTCCACCCAGTCATTGAGTGTCTACCAGGTCAACCCAAACAGTAACGACTCTAGTGGTGATTACTTACGGCAACGGTGTTCTGCACGTGACTTGTCCTGTAATATTTTAATCCAAAATGACACAATCGAGTTCACTCCGCTTAGCAGCACATTTAATACTCCGGGCGTCCAGTATTACGTCGCAATTGATTCTGACTATGTCAAGCAGAGCAATATTAGCGAAGCCGTTCCCGGAATATTGAATAGGCAGTGGCAATTCCAAGCGTGTGAGTATTAATACATCCAGCGTTTATAATTTGGTTTGCGCGCCGCTTTCTTAAACATCTTCTAATCCTTTGTTTCATCATATTAAATCTGCTTTCGCATTTTAGCTGTTGATTCAGGCACATTTTCAGATTCAGTTACGGGATTGCTTAGACTGAATCTTGATGAATCGCAGCATTTCGACAGTCTTAACAACGACGGGAAATCTGCATTTTTTGACGATTTAACTAATGCGCTGGTCGATATTATCCCAGTCGAACCAAGTCGGTTGACTACAAGCAAACTTTTTCAGACCACAACTGTTGGAACTGATGATTTGGTACTGATATCATATACAATTAAGAAAACTACGGACCAAAATCAGAGAAGCGCCAACGATCTAGCAAACGATTTGGATACTTTGGTAAAGTACAAGTCAATAACACCTGTTGGAATGAATAACAGCACAAAATTTTTAGATGAGACATACGGATTTCAGCGGACTCGTGAGTATCACAAATGCATTAAGAATATCAATCTTGCAAAAGCTAACATTTTCCCTTTATTGTTAGAAAACTTGTGGGACAAATATAAGACAAGACTATTGATCTTATTTCTTGCTCTCCTGGTCGTATTGGTGCTTTTCATATTAGCCAGAATCAGAAATAACGAGGTGAGTAAGAGAAGCCATGGCTATAGACATTGCTATATAACCACATCCGAAGCGATTAGATTTTGATAATGGAATAACTAACACGTATGCTTATTACGTAGGGTCATAATTGGGCAATAATACAAATTGCGTTGATAATACTGGATACCACATTAGATATCTTGTTCTTAGCTGATCACGGCCGCGATATACACAGCTTATATCTCCCAAGGTACGAATGAAAATTGAATGATTAATCCAGGGCATCCTACATTCGTGGATATTCATTATCTATTTGTTATTTAAACTGTTAGTGTCATATTCCTTGTCGTTCCAATCGGTTTCAATGCTATATCAGCGTTCCTCATATTCAATTATGAGCACGAACATAATAGCAGTTTCCTTAAATGGTCAAATAGAAACGTGAAACTAGCACCAACGTTTACTGTATTGGCAGGCGCGGATATCGAAATGTTGAACGTGCTTGCATCTGGGCTAGCAGGCCTTAACCTTTTTAGTGCTCCATTCTCCCGTCGAGCACTGCGATGGATATTTTGGGTAAGCACGGTAAATGTAATAATAGAAGACATTCCTCAAGTGATCATTCAGGTAGGCTATGTTTTAATTGTTTGAAGCATCCACCGTAGTCTGGACCATTTGTTATCGAAAGACTTTTTTCCATTAATGCCTATACTTCTCGTCTAAGTAGATCATTTACAAAACTAGGACGGTATCATACGATATAGTCCCATTTCTCACCTTGATTACAAGCTGTGTCGTGCTCCTAGTTAATTTACTAGGAAAGGTTTACTTTGTAGTCCATTATATAAGACACAGAGAATTCCGATACAGTGTTCCTGTGAGAATAATGGAACGAGAAACCACAGATTCTGTCGAAGAGAAAGCGGCTACTGAAGATTACGTACCTACACCGAGGACGGTAAGATAGACATGAGTTGACTTTGTTAACAAGACATCACGTTCTAATTTCAACACTTTTGCTATTAGTCACAAGACGAGGATCGGTTCACAACCACGGGATCCGATGAACAATCACAAGAATACAGATAGACTAATGAATACACAAAAAATTGTTTATAATCTTTGAGCTATTAGCAATTAGCAATTAGAATAATCGCGCGCTGGGACAACAATCTGATACGAGCAGCGCAAAGAACGCTAGCATCATTAATACCATAAAGAACTTACATGTAATTATTAAATCGCAACTGGTGCAATTAAATAATATTAATGTAAACCCGAGAGTTAATGGCCTAATTGATGTTCAAACGGTCTTTGTTGTATATTGTGAAGGGATCGGAATTTAATATCACTTGAAAAAAGAATCATTCTGCGAACATGAATTCTTGCCAGTTTACGTTAATTGTTAAAAATATAACATCTGACAATAAACAATAATGTCGGGATTTCGTTGAACACTTTATATTTCATTATTTGATAAATTATCGATTGTCCCATCTCGAATGCGCGAGGATAATA